AGAGGGAGGCAGAGGGAGGCAGAGGGAGGGAGGTAATACAGTGAGTGCATGAGGAGGTCGGCTGATGGACCCTCTGGCAGCTTTTAGGAGGATCGTCTCTGAAGTGTCATTAGATCCAGTTTGGGTTCATCAAAGGTGATGATGTCATCAGAGAATCTGCTGCTGTAAGTCCATCATTTATTCTCCTAACTGGGTCACGTGACCCAGAGTGGTTGTGATGTCAGACAGACCCGGGTCCTGCTATAGTGTAGAGCTGGTCACCCTCATACCGGTTGCTGCAGGTTCGAGTCCTGGTCCTGCTGACCTCTGCAAGATTTTATTTTTTTTAATGCTTTATTGGAAATTCCGTGTAACGTTACAGAATGAATCAAACATTAAGCTCAGATATACAACATTTGGTGAAATTATAACTTTAAGAAAGACGATACATAGAAGGTAAGAAATAAATAAAAATAAAAAAATGAAACAAACAAATAAATAAAATAAACATAAAATAATAATAGCTAGGGGTTTACATTGAGTTTACGGTCATTTACAACAGTTTATAATTTTATACCATTTTTCTTCTTCATAAATTTAAGTGATTGAAAATACAAACAAAGTTCTTTAAGGAAAACGATGAAGTTTGGATGGTTCCTCATGTGTGAATGGAAAATGTCCTCATCATGAGTAACACATTAAAGGCTCCTGCAGCTTATCTGTCATTTCTAGTCCAAACTAAACCTCCTCTCTGTCCAGATGAGGAGGAGATTCACATTTAGATGAACACCAGAAGCAGAAATCTTCCCAGAAAACTTTCCCGTACAGACAGTCGAAAAAGAGGCGACCAACAGTCTCACATTCATAGAAGGTTCAATCATTTTATTTAAAACCAAAACGGAGCCTCAGAAATTCCTTGGAAGGATAAATGTCAGCGATTATTTTGAAATGACTTCTTTAACCTTTGGAGCAACAGGAACCTGTAGATATTTACTCCACAGTTTTCCCACTTTCTCTTTAGGAAAATGCTTGGAGATTAGGTTTCTGTGGGATGCACCTTTGCCAGATGTCTCTCCTGTCTACTACCACTTCCTGTCTGCTTTCAAAGTAAAGGCCATCTAATCTAATATCAGACAGATTCATCTCATCTTTGAACTGCTGTTATCTGTCAGAGCGTGCTTTTTAATCAGGCACGCTGCAGGATGTCTAAACAGGAAAACAGGACAGGAGAGACTTTTTAAAAGGTCTAATTATTCGAGTGTAACATGCTTCCTGTAAAACCTGAAGCAGCAGATCCTCCTCATCAATCAGAAATCTCAAATTGTATTAGTTTATTCAAAGTGCTTTTAAATAACATTGTTTATTATTTTATGTTGAATGTGATCCAAGCTCCTCATTATAAACCAATGTGTTTTTAATTCACATCCGTATCATAAAATTGGATTTTTTTTTCACCCTAATTGATCCAATTCTTCATGCGAAACGGGAAGGAAGGCTGTTAGTCAGGAAGCACAATAACAAGTGACACAAACTGGTTTATCTGCCAAACGACCCCCATTCCAAAGGGGGGGACCCGTTCATCCGTTTCTATTTGCATGATTTC